TATATTAGATATTTTATATATACACAGGTTGCTGAATGGGTACGATCCGAATACTGAGGATAGGCTGCATTTAACGCTACAGAGGTAAGAACTTTTTATAAATAATCTTTGTGAAACAATTTATAGTGACTATTTGCACTAGAATTTGCCTGGGCATCAGGCACCAGCTCGTTTCAGTAACGAGCCTTTGAAGCCAGTCCAACAGCCTCAGTTAAGCTCTACCTTGAGTAGCATAAATTGGTAGAATTTGCGCTCTAAATATCCAACAGGAATGTTTTGCAAGTAAGAGTATATTTCTTATGGAGGGTGTCAGTGTCAACTCTCCCTCAAGTGCATTAACTGTCCAACACAATTCCTTTCTCTTGCTTTAAAAAAGAAGAAAAGTTTAAATTCAGGGAATAGAGCTGAACCACAGTGTTTTAAGGGAGATAGTCTCTTCTCTCCTCTTAACATGACACCCTGGAGGAAGAATAAGGAGTGCTGCTTGTGATACACAGCTGCCTCTAGGGACAAGTAGCTTTTTTCGCTTACTTCCTTTGAAACAACTGTACATAGTTTTCAAGGCATAAAGTTTGTAATCGATTATTCAAAACAAAACAGTGAGACTTCCCAAGAAATCATTTCCAAGATGATTCGGTAATGATCAGCCTACTTGGCACCAAGTCAGCTCTTTCCCCAGGCTGTCAGCAATACTGAGAAGACAGAGATTTCTTCCTCTATTTCTCAAAGTCAGAACTCAAGATGTTTACTAATCTCTGTTAATTCTTTATCACCACCCTTGTTTCTTACTTTGAATAATCTATGTTCTCAAAACAGCAGACTAATTGCAAACAACAGTTATCACATAAAACTCTTGTTCTGAAACCTTTTATAATGACTTCTGTGACAACCAAAAACCAAAGCAGCTCTCAAAGTGCATGTTACCAAATTGCTTTTGACTAATTTGAGTTTTAAGCTTAACAGTTATTTGTTCTAAAGATAGCACTAAAACAGGTGTTCCAGATCTCCAACAAATAATGGAAGAGGTGAAAGAAAGAGAAGAAAGCTTTGTCTTTCTTTAAATCTTGGCAAATATGAAGCGATATTATTAAGTGATGAATCTAGCATGCCTCAGCTCAGACCCAGGGTAATTACCCACATTCAGGTCTTGTAAAAAAAATATTTCTAGCTTTACCACAGCTTCCTACCACTCTGCATCTGGTGCTGGACAGTAGCTAGAGAAAACACTTGTACAATTGTTGTACAGCTAGAAACAACATGGAGCAGTTTCCAAATCAGGAGTAACAGGATCACAGCCAGGAACAGACACTGCTAAATTCAGGAGGAAAAATTCTACACTATTAATGACTCTGGAGTGACCATGTGATGCGAAAATGCTAGATCCATTCAGTGTTGTGGATTTGCACGCCAGATGCTCCAGAGTCTTTTCATGGGCAGTCATGGGCTCAGAGTTCATCCTTCAGTCAAGTTTTCTGTTTCACCCTGCTGTATGATTTCTAGGTGCCTCTCTTGGACCTGGACGGTTACAGATCTCCCCTCCAATAGTTTTTTACGAAATTCTGATTAGAAACTAAGTGGCATTTACCAACCAAATAGATACCAAATATTTCTGTAGGGCAGCCAGCAGAGTAATGAAACAAGTAAATCAGCACTCCTAAAACAATACAACATGGGGAAAACAGTATGTTTTGCTTTCTGTTTTCTGAGACCTGTTGTTTTCAAGAAAGCAGACACCAAACAACCTGAGAGTTAAACACTGTTAGCACGTTCATCCCTTCTGAAAACAGCTGGCTGAACATTAGATTTAGAATCCCAAAAACACTTGAGGTAATAATGCTCTAAGTTTTTATACTCCAATTTCCCTAGTGATTAATCACTTACCAGTTATTTGCCATTTAACTATAAAATGATGATGGTCATTCAGAGAGAGGTGGCACAGACTGAGACCTTTCAGCCTTACATAACTATACTTCAGTATTTCCATATTTCACCGTATTTCAGTTCTTACACATCAATGGGTCCAGTCTTTGGAGAGCTGAACTGGTATTTCTACTGCTTAACTCACACACAGTCCTGCCTGGTGTAACACCAATTAGAAGTTTTATTTCAGGGTTAGAGAGATATCAGGGAGATCCACATCTATTTAATATCCGAAGGGACACAAATATACATAGAAAAAAAAGTAACACAGGCTGGTAAGCTCTCATCTCGTATCACGTTTATTTTGTTCCTTTCCTATTCTACCCTCTGGTTCTTCACTTCTCTAAGTCTTCGGCCTTCAGAATTTCAGAAGGCTTGAAGTCGCTAGCTGGCTACTGCTACTTGGCCTCTACAACAACTCCCTTTGTTCACTTTTATTATTATCCCTATAATTTAAGATTGGGGAGAGGAAGGGAGTTGCTAACGACCACGCTGGCTGTCCAAAAAAAGCCTTAAATGTTAAAAAAAACCCCCAACTCTGCTGCTCATATTGTGCACACGCTGGAGAAGTCTAATCAGATCAACACTGTGTTCAGTGTTAAATCTCTTCCAGTTCACACGATTTCATCGTAAACTTAAATAAATCAGACTGGATGCTTACAAGACAGTGAGTTATGTACCACTTTTTCTGAGGTTTTTAAGCCAACACTTACGATCTTCATGCTTATGATTAATCATGATAGATCAATACCTCAACTACACAAATTCACATTTTTACATTTCCTTTGCTCTCCTTCACATTCCAAACACAATCAAACTGCACCACCAAATCCACATTCAGTAACCAATTGAATTAATCTCCATTTAAGAATTTAGTGTCTTAATAATCGAATCAAATTTGCTGTGAAATCTGCAATTCATTATTGGTCATAGACACTGGGGAAATTGAAGGACTGCATAATGACAAACTACATGATTTGTAAAACTTCTTAGCCACCTGGGAGTACTACACTAAGCTGAATTAAAAAGCATTTGAGAGTGCCTGTTACAAACCAATTTAGTAAAACAGACAGCAGTCTGGAAACATGAATGCTTCTATATTCATAAAGATTCATTCTTTTGTTTAGGAAAAAGAAAAATGGCCAAAGCTCCAACTACCGAATTTTATGATCATACCTGGCGAGTCATAAGTATTCGATTCAAAGGCTGACCAGGGCATTAAGACAGGAAAAAACACGTCCCAGGTAAGGGACATTGGCGTGGGGAAATCTTGAAGAGATAGACACCAAACAAGACTCCAAACCAAGCAGGCACTAGCTAAGGAGTCAATATGTATTTAGTTATTTGGATAAGTTTTGCATCATCACAAAGAGTGCATGGGTTCTGGTATCTTTACATGATCTAAAAGAAATCTGGAGTCTTGAGTGTAAGCCCCTGCACAGTTTTATCTAAGCAATAAGCCTGACAGCTAGACTCAGGTGCTCAGAGCTAAGCACTTCCAGACCTGTCAAAGCACATACTGAAGAACAAGTGATGCCCAAAACAAGAATAACAAATGATGAAAGTTTTACGTAGAAGAGTGGACATAATTTTTAAGTTAGAACATGTTATCCTATAGCACTGGCAGTAATAAAAACTGTAGAAAGCCTCCACTGACACCCTGAGATACACATGTCAAAAATTTTCACAATTTACCCTCTTGTTTCGCTACTGGTAAAGCTGGCAGCAGCTCTGGCTCTGAACTACACATACAGCATTTTAAAAAACATTCAGCTGTTGCCTGAGAATCTCAGTCACTATCAACATTATGAAACCCTGCTGTGTTATTAGTGCAAGCACAGCAGTCTGACTATATCTCTTGTCATTTAAAATAGCTCTTCCAGCTGACAAGGAATGTATTAAAACCACTTGTTCACTGTTTGCATGCGTCTTCATTAAAAATTTGCTTCACCTTTGTCTAGCATCTTTTAACAGTATTAGGCAAGAAAAGCAGCAAGAATGGAATGCATTATTCTCTGGTCCCAAGGCCTCAGGAGAGGCACTCACTGTGTCCCAAAACAGGAGAGGAAAAAAAAAAAAACGTGCCAATGTGCTTTGTTGTACTGCTGTCAAAACAACATTTTTATTTCAAAATCTAAAAGAATACCACCTAAAAATGAAGTACCAGAAGAGAATATGGTTTACCTATACTGCAAGACCCACAATCATTTTATGGGCATCATATTATACTTTGGAATCAATAGGAACTCGGGCATGTAGGCATCTCCATGGGTGAGATTTACAGATTTCAGTTTTCTCAGAAAGGCATATGCAACTATCACAAGTAACTGTAAGTTCAAAGATCTCTCTCACACAATTAAGTGACTTATCACAACAAAAAGTTAAAAACTGAGGAGAAAAAAGACCAAAACCAGAATGGTCCCTTAAGTCACAACCCAATTTATTTTAAAGAAACGTGTGGCAATTTTACAAAAGCTAACTCTCATCATAAAAACCTCAAGTGTGATAAAAATAAAGATCAAATGCTCAACAAGAGCATAAACTTGTCATGAATGCAATAGCTACTATTTTACACAATATAATCAAGAATTCAAGCTTACCTTGAATTCTTTCACCTTTTCCATGGTTATCAGGCGCCTTGAGGTGTGGCTGGAAAGCATCTGCTCACAGTTGCTAATAAGTTTCAGGCACGGGTGGCGAGGAATGATCTCTTCTGTATATCTGGAAGGAATGAACATTCATAGAGCTGTAATCTCGCCAACTGCACGACTTGCATCTGAAACAGAATTCATATAGATTCTTCACAACATGGCTTACACTAGGAAGTTGCTATGCATTTTAATCTGATTTTTAAAAAAAATCAGGTATTGGTGGTCCAGAGTTTTTACATCATATATTCCAATGATCTTGTGACATAAAATGTGTAGAATAAATTAATACCTCACAGTAAAGAGATCCCCACATGTTTTCTACGTGCATTTACAAAACGTTAACATATGCACACAGGCCTGCCTTTATAATTTCAAGTAGAAAATATTTCAGCCAACCAGGAGTAATAACTTTTCCAATCAGAAACACGATTTTAAAAATCTATTCCACAATCAATAAGAACAAGAGATTTAACTCTGGCTCCCTAATAGGAGACCATTATGTTTCAGTTTCAAACTCTATTGAACCAGCTTTTATTAGACTGTCACATTCCTGGACTTCAGAATTTGGGTTACAAATTTATCACATTGTAATCATTTTTTCTAAAGGGAAGAAAAAAAATTCCATTATCTTTTAATATCAGATGGTGGCAATATTGCCTTGCAATTAAATCCTGTCTCTAGAAAAAAGCAGTTACAGTGTTTTAAATGCCCCCATCTCAAAAGCATGCTATTTTCTACAGAAACAGCTCTCTAGAGCATTTTCAATACTGCTACTTCTCCAAATGCTGGAAGAGAATTTAGGGATTTAAGAGCTTTGCATGGGACTACTGGAGCAACAAGTATCAACCCAGCTAATAAGTTGAGATCATACATCCCTCCTATATACAGAAACATACACCAGCCATTTAGTCTTAGCTTTTGTAATTAGCCTTCCTGTAATAGTTACCACCACATAATATAGAAAACAGTATATGGTATTGTCAGTGACTATGACTTCATATAAAATGTTTGCTCTCCTGATTCTCCAATTCTTGGGGGTCAACAGAAGTCAGACATTAAAAAGTAGAACAACTAACACTTGAACTTAAAAGGTATACAAACAAGAGCTTCATATTTTTCCTGTATAGAAGTGTACTTTCTGAATGCACTTTGCAAAGTAAATGTATTGTTCTGGAAAAAAAGAGAAGTCAAATGTAATACAACTCAAAATAGGATCCATCTAGGTGCTGATCTTGAAATTTCTTAAATATAACAGTGAGCTGTTAAACAAGAAAGAAAATACCAAATACAGACTTGTAAATAAGAAAAAAACCCCAACAAACCCAAACTGTACTGCCTCTTTGCATTGTTCCAAGTCTTCCAGATCAAAAAAATCTTCTTATGTGTAGAATCAAGTCACTACTTCTGCTGGGTGAAGTTGGAACATGCTTTTGACAAAGAAGAATCAAATTCGCAACTGTTTTTTTCCATTTACACCAGACTTTTGATGCATCTAGTACCACCAAATTACCACCTCCTCTTACAAAGTGAACATGTGAACAGTGAACATGTGGCACTCCGCCACAACATCTTAAAAGTTTCTCTTCATAACCATATAAAAGCCTGACTGCAAAGGAATTAAAAGAATTCAGACTCAACAATGATTTCAATGTCAGATTGAAAGAGTAAACTTTGGAGCAAGATGCTATCTTGCAGATGGAGAGATCATTATCACTCTGTTAAAAAGCCTTGTCTGTTAGCATTAATGCATATATTTTTACATTCTTTCAGGTGAAAGAAATAAGAAAGAAATATAGTAGCAGTGGTTTTAACAGACATCCATTTTAATCCAATTTTGGTTTTAATTTAAGGTAATACTGAAAGATCTCAAATAACACATAAACCTGATGCAAGTGTTGCCAAGGGGTATTTGATAACAGAACATACTAGCAGACAGTCTCTTATCTTCCCTCCACATACTTGCTTTAATGTTTGCTCCTGCATTCATCATTACAGCTGAAAAATAAAGTGGCTCTACTAATATTCTGTGCTAATACAGTGAATTCCATATTGCAATCCATCCCAGGAAGTACAAATTCACTTTTTAAGAGCCAAGCTAACTAGAGCTTGAGAGAGCTGACATTCCCAAAACAGCAACTAAAGCAGAACCAGAATGTGCACTTCATACTTATTTGATGTTAAACACTGCTGTACTGAGGAAGCACAGTCTTACCAATGTCCAGTGAGCAGACAAAAAGCTCAGGTATCTTGACAAACAGAAAAAACTCAGTAATTCCAAACAGAGTTTATTGATATGGAAATCTAAGGATTCAAAACCACGCACAGTTTGTCAGGGTTACACATGTTTAGACAGACATTTTGATTTTTGATTTCCAAATTTCCAAAGCAGCTTGTGATAATTATATATGTAGGACTGTCAGAATCCATTTCCATGGTGAAACCATGACCTGCAACCACTTTATATTATATGTCTGTATAGACTGACTGTACATAAAAGCATATGACACTGCAGAAGCAGCCTTCAGAGCACATCTACATCTGGAATACACTTAGAAACAGCTACTGTGCATCAACTCCTCACTTAACTGTAAAACAGTTTTGGAAAAACAAAAAACAAACTCTCAAAATCTTATCTAAGAGATGCTGAAGGAAGTTATGCACACAGATGTCTTTCCTTTTAAACCCAGTTCTAATCTCGGGCTGCACTACTGAGCAGACAGCATGCTGCAGCCTCTGCTGGCCTCTCTCGTCCTCAACAGGGCTGCTTCCCTGCACATCCTGCCTGTCACTGCCATCTCTTGGTCACTTAACTTTTGATTTCTCAGAAGAAAGCTCAGTTAGTAGTGTCAAACCCCAAAGAGCCAAGAACATCCTCTTGCAGGACCTTGCCATGCACCTCTACTCCAGCAGAAAGACATACAAACATGCTACTACTATCTTAGAAATCTATTGGCACCTTGAAAGTATAATTTTCTAAGATCAACTCACAGGGCATGGATTTGCAAGGATATGTGAAAGCTTTTCCTCTTGGGCAATAAGTCAGGAATCATCTCCAACCAAAAACTCTCATTTCACAATCTGCTTTCTCTCATACTACGTTTTAAAATACCAAGTCTGAGCATTATTCTTAAGTGCTAGTACTATGGAAGTTGAAGCTGTACTATGCCCTGAAAGAAAGCAAAGTGAGAATACAGTTCTGACACACTACATACCAGAAATCAAGAATACATACTCAGGCCTGTATATTGGCAGCCAGTAAACTAATCTTCCTCCCATCACCAGATATTCTGCAGCGAACTTCAGTAGGTCAAAAAAGATGTCACTTAGATGATAACTGGATGAAACGAAGATGTGATTTTCTGTGCTAAACAAAAAAAAAAATAAAAATCATAAGGGTAAACATAAATGCACAGGTAAAACCTGCATTTTTAATTAAAATAAAAACAAAACCAAAAAAACCCACAAACCAAACCTCACAACCCACATCTAAAAAAAACCCCACAAACAATCACAAATCAGCACTATCTGAGACTTGCAAAACTCTCTAGGATAATCCACCAATATGACTTCTAGTACGAGGAACATGACTTCACGAATTCCCCTACTGGCTCTTTGGACTACCATCTTTAGTACTTGTGGAAGTCAAAGAATCACCAGCATGCCAGGGTTTGTTACTTTGTACAGAAACTTTCTCAAGGGCAATTTAAAGTAAAAGGCAGAAGACAAGGAAGGATGGGCAATGGAAAAGCCCTGTGTTATCTCTGAAAGAAGCAAGCAGTGGAAATCCAAGAGAAAAGGTTAAGAGAAGATAGAGGTATCCCATTTCAGACCGATTTTGCAGCTTGCAGAGACCGAAGAGAACTTTCTGAGAATAGGAAACACAAGGTAATGGTGGCTCACTGAGAAACAGGATTTGAAATCTGAACACATGCAAATGATAAGCAGGATGAACAAAACGAAAAGGACTTCAGGAAGTGATATACTAGTTTTGCAAATAGAACAGAACGGGATTTTCTTTTTTAATTATTATTACTATCACTTTTATAACTGCTAACAGCCAATGAAGAAATAATAAAGATTCTAAAACTGTGACTGGGTTACTGTTAAAACATTTTTATTCTACAGCAGACAAGACAGTTTACCCACCTTCTTTCAGCTGACTTAACTGCTTCCTTTTGCGAACCTGTTCTGCGTGTAGCTTCTCTGATACCATACGGTGCTATACAAAGCAAACGCATACATGGACATAAGAATCTCACTCTTCATACAAATAACACGCAATTATATTATACTCACATAGCAGTGCACAAACTTCAGCTTACACAAAGTTAAGACCAAGAAAACCACATATAATGTAAGTGTCGGTAAGGGAAATTTCTTCAAGATCTATTAAAAGTTTCTTGCTCTTAAAAGGTTACTTCAAAACTGTTTCAAAGAAAGCTCTTCAGCTATGAGAGGCTTTGAGCAGCCTAGATGTTTGCTGCACTACAAAGGACAACACTTTTCTGTGTTGTTCATCAAAGGATAATCCTTACGTTTCCAACATGTGACAAATAATCTCACCCTCTTCTGTTCGACAGACACAAACACCTGCCCTGTAGCACTTAGCTAATCTTTTTCAAAATTAAATTGTATATATTAGAATTTCTTGCCAATACACTACACATAGTAATTCTCACACAGACAATGAAAGCCAGAGATGCCTTTTTCTCATATATTTTCGCACATTTCTAATAGCATAATATATTTCGTCCTCAATGCATTTGGTTTTGTGAGATTAGTTTCAGCATCATGAAAGCATCAATATCATCATTTTTTTAGAAGTTGTGACACAACTCACAAACTTAGTTCAAGTCATATTAATATTCTATATTGTCTTATTACCAAACAGGTCAAATAGAAATTAGCAGCCAAGCCGCAAAGTGACACTCCCTACTCCTAATTAATATGAATAAGTCATTGTAAGAGCCAGCACTAGAGATCAGAAATCACTGTATCGAGGTCTTTTATTTATTCCCCTAGCCTCCACTCCCCCTCAGGCATGACAAATGGAGTTAAGTTCACAGGTTTCTAAAAGAGCAGGGGATCCTTTCAAACCAGTAGTGCTTCTAGCATATCAGAAAAAAATTTCCAAAATTTCTTTTTGGAAGCATTCCAATAAGCACATGGCGTAAGTCTCCAGAAGTCCAGAGTTGCTCAGCAGGCTCCACTATGTTGCAGATCAGGTCCTAACAGCAGGATGGACCATTCTGATACAAAGTCTCCGCTCATCAATAAAGTTACACATTTACTCAATGAGATTTCTTCAAAGAACGAATTCCAGCCATACTGATTTCTACTGGCAAACACAATATTCTCTCCAGAGAAGAAAGTATTATCATCAGCTTTGCTACACATTCATAACCACCCTTGAAAATAAATGCAGAGATGTCAAACGCAAACTTAACTTCCACGGTGCCGCTCTCAAGAGTTGCCTTTTGTAATACAGAAACTGCACATCTGAGCAGTCTTCACAACATTAAATCAATGTACATTGGCACCGACATAGGCAACAGTCTTTTAGTCACTGTTATTAGGCAACAAAAAGCATGAACGAACTTACGATCTGTAATGATTACATCAAACAGCATCCCTTTTCGCCATATTGGTCTTGAAGAATCAGAAACTAGCGCATCAAGGTAATATTTCTCTAAACCATACTGTCGGAGATTAGCTCGAATATTTTCATCTGGCCCTCTCCATTTCTGGTTCTTTCTGCTTGCCTTGCCTGGATGGGGGCATGGAATGGGAAAGAAAAAACAAAAAGCATACTCAATAACAAGCCATTTTATAGGAAAAGCTTTCATAATCTCTATTATTTAATATAAATGAAAATAATTAAATGTCACTTACAAAACAGGAGTTTATCTACTGCCTTATTCTACTCACCGTCAACAGTATTTGCAATAAACTTCAAGGAATAATGAAAATACATGAGAGATATTCTGCTGCACCATCTGCATAGGGTGTGACAGAATACATTTATAAAAATGTTGGTTTGTAAGATGTTCTCACTATCCATCAGTCACAATCCTGTCCAGTAACTCAGAAATTTCAGAGAAGTAAAAATGGGATTAGACTTCCTGGATTACATTACGAGAAGCTTCCTAATTCACAGGCTAAGAAACCACACAGCTGTTATAATCACTATTTGAAATTTTGTTTTGGTTTTCATTATTCCTTTTATTAAATATTTCCTGCTTAAAAAATAGGATAATAATTTAGCTAGGATACATATAAATTGGTCAATACAAATAAGCATGACCAAATAAATCCTGTGAAGATTAATGTTGCTTTAAAATCCACTTAGTACCATCTGCTGTCATCAGTATTCTTAAATTCCAGAGAGTAACATTTCAGTGGTTTAGAAATATCTAACATACCTAATCCATGGATTGTGTTATAATCTATATCAGTACCACACACATATGCTCCAAAGTGTGCTGAGGAGATTAGAAGGCCACCTATAAAGGGGAGAAAAGAGGAAAAGGGTATAAACTGCTGTCACAAATGTTATCTGTGTCAGGATTTTTCACTCAGGAACTTCAGGAGTTTACACCAGTAGCAGCCTAGACCCAAAGCTAGACCAAAGAACAAAAAAAAAAGAGGAAAGAAAAGAAAGAAAAACAGAATTAAAACTACCAACCAGTTAGAATTTCTATGCAACTACAATTAGAAATAATAACATTAAGTTTCTTGTCTGCTATAACTGATATTCCTTATCTTGCTATACCCTGTATCACTCCTTGTCTCTGGAGTAAATGTAAACATGCAAAAATATCAGAGAAGTTTCTGTAGTTGTTTTGCAGTGTGAAAGCTATATACAGATGCATGCATTTCTTCTGTATGCTGCCTATTTTGTCAGTACTTTTATTAGCGTATTCATCCTGCAATAAAACTATTTTTTTTAATCACTACTATTGTGACCTGCTTTCCCGATTCCAAAAAAAAACCCAAAACCCTGCCAAAAAAGTATGTGTGATCTCCCCTCTAAACTGTGCAATGGCTGAATGGCCCAGAGAAAAGAGTCAATGCCATTATCTCTTTAACAGCTTCCAAATGGGAAAAATAAAATAGAAAAGAGAGCACAAGATTATCAAAGAGCTGTGTTGTCAGGTTGTTAACAAGGCAGTACATAGCCAATGGAATGGTTTAAACCAAAACACTGACCAAGAGCAAGGCTGTGAACCCCACACTAGCGGTGTCAACTGCTCGTGGATGCGAACAGTCCTGCCAAAATAAAGGGGCCGATTGCTGCAGGTGAAGGGTTGAGCAGCCCCATGAGCAAGGCGCAAGCTGGTTGTGTGGGGAGCTCTCATTCTCCCAGGCTAAAGATCCCATCTTGAGGCTCCAGAAAACTCCTACATCACAACAAACACTACCAAAACTGAAGGTGAGGGAGAAAGAAAAAAAAAAAATCCTCTGCTTTTTCTTGTGAAATAGATCAGGGAAAAGCAAGGTTACTCACCCCAGAGGAGTCACCCATTTCCCTTCTCGGCTGCACTCCCTCAGGACAGATGGGCAGTACCTCCAGAGGGTCAAGACAAATTTAGCTAGCCCTGACCCCAAGTATGGCATACCACCCAGTCCTATAAAAAAAGTAAGAAGAAAGTACTTTGCCTATCTAAGAACGTTTTTAACCACAGAGGGGGGGGAAAAAAAAAAGTTAGGAAAACATGACATCTCAGCTGGTACTAGTTAAATTGTGCTCACACAGAAGGTGCATGAATACTTAAATACTCTAATACGGGCAGCCCTTTGCTCTGCTGTATCTAACAGATGTATACAAAGGGTTAATCAGAGAATCACTGTGTCCCCTGATGACTATTAGCAGAATGAGGATGGCATAGAACTTCATGCCTTTCTATCATATATTATTGCCTCCATCTCTTCAGCACAGATGAGGGTCTGGTCATACCACCATCTTTCAGGAGATGAAAGAAAAAAATCCCTGCAAATTCCAATTACACAGTATCACAAATTGGCAAAGGGTAAGTAGGGACTAATAGCTTCCAAAGGTAAAAACAACAAGCTTACTGAGATAACCTGGACAGATTGTCTAGGAGGAAACACAAAATATTGGTTTATTCTTCCAGAAGCCTCCAGACTTCCTTCTGCCCAACACTGAGGAAAGAATATAGAAACAGTTTATGGAAGTTATATTTTAAAATTCAAATCAATCCTGGTTGTTCCAATTCTGCTCTATAAGGAAGGGGAGCCATTCCAAGGACAGATTCCAGTTGTCCACTCTTACACTGATGTAGAAGAATTGTGATTTGGCCCATCCGGTAAAAACGGTTTCCAACAAGCATCACCATTTTGCAAGCCTGTTCCAACTTGGTAATATTTACCTTTCAGCATAAAAGCAAGGAAGAAACCTATAACGAAATTTGAACTGCAGTGTCCTCAAAATACTCCTCAAAACCTGAATCTGCATTCTTTCCAAACCTATCAGCTAAAACTCACTGCATCACTCTCAACTCTGAATTACCTCCCAAAATTCCACTGGCAGGGTACTGTTGAGGTGACAATCCTGAAAATCTTCAATTGTCTCTTGAGGTCCTTTAGAAATCCCAAAATTGCCAAAAGTAGGTGCGAAAGCCACCGTTCTATTGCTGAGTCATAAATACACTTTACTGACAAATAGCGTGCCACTCAGTATCTCCAGTGTCCCTAAGAACCTTTAATCTCAAACCTGTAAATTACAGATGTCTAGTGCAATAAAATCATAAAAATTCAGAAGATTTTTTGTAAAAGGACACAAAGCCATAGACACTGAAATGAAACAAACTGCTTAGAGATGAAGCAGAGGCATTTTCTCAACCTTTCAAAGAATACTACCCATCTGCAAGGAACACAGGCACAAGGAGGAAGAGAAAATTTCATAAGACACCACTATTCATGCAAAAACCCAGGTCCCATATGAACAAAAATTTAAAAAAACCCACACAGTTCATTGAAGCCTTATGTTTCTGAAAATACTATATCCTCGGTCTGTTTTCTATAGGATAGAGAAGCCACATGCTAGTAAGTTTGTCCTACTAGTGACCCTGTAGTACCGTTTTTTTCTCTCCCTAACTTCTTTGCAGTGATTTCTCTTCATCCTTCCATTAATCTAAATACTTTTAATTGTCTCACACGAGGTCTTCTTGATCTAAGTTTGGCAAAATCCAGGTCAGAAACACAGCCTTTGTTATGCCTTTGAAGAAACTACTTGTGTTAGCTTAACACAATATACTCTTGCACTATAAATGGCATAACTTGACACAATAGATCTTCTATTTCGTCTACAAAGTGGCTGAGGTTCCCTTACCTAAAAAGTACTTCTACGTCCCACAAAGCAATTCGTGGAATAAAAGCTCCCCCTCCTGGCTTAACTACGAAAAAAACAGCTGGGAACGAACATACGGTGTGACTATAATCCTAAAGTCAAGATGTGATGGTACAAGGAACTGATCACAACTGAAATGCCACGACCTAAGTATTGCTATGTTGTGTTATATGCCCACAAGTGCCCTGAGCACTCCTCTGAATAGCCACCTCCAAAACTGCTGCTCCTTGTAACATTCTGAAAGTGGCTGCAAGGAGTGCTCTAGCCAAATTTCAGTTCTTAGTCACTTTGGATCTTAAGCAGTCCAGGACGTGCATGAACTGGTGCTTCTTTAAGCCATGTTATGTAAAATATGGTGAAGACAGACTTGTCCGAAGTGTAAAACAAACTGTTTACATCTTCTGAAGTTGGTCTCATTCCACAAAAATCATTTCAAGTTAACAAAACATTAATTTAACAATCACTATCTTGCTTTTGGTATCATCTTAAAATATCAGTTGAGCACCAGAAGCCACTGTGACAGGTAGAAGTGTGGTGCAAGTAGAAAACAATGGCCCAGTTTCTCCCACCAATACAAAAAAATAATAAAATATACCTGTTCCAACAAATGGATCGTATACAACATCATTGGGTTTTACTTTCCCATGGTTTGCCATAATGAAAGACAGGCAGGCATCCATGCTAGTATTTCCAATAAAGTGTCTTTTTTTTACACTGTAGGACTCAATAAGTTCTCTTTGGCCATCTGCAATCTGTTGAAATATTTAAAATCCCTGTCAGGTCTTAGATACAACATAAAAGCAGACAGGCAAATAGACTTGCTTGAATGACATCCCCCAACAAACAGGTAAACGCTTCAATTTGTAACATATCACTTTGCTTTCTGCCATCTGAAAATACAACAAACTTCTTTCCAAGCAACACATACTTTGGTTCAACACTTAGATAACAATGCAGAGAGAAAATTCTTCTGAAGAAATAACAATTACAGCAACTTTGCCTATTATTCTAGGTTATCAAAAAACAATTTCTGGCAATTCAGAATTAAAAAATTCAAAATCGTGAGGAGTAGAAATGCACGTTAACACAAGAGTGTACACACACATGCACATGCTTAAAAAGTCACATAGAATTTACATCTTCACCGGCTTTTCTGGCACGCTCATAATCTGTATTTGGGATAGGATTGACAGATCAGAATTTATAGGAAAAAACAAAGACCAATTGCTAGCACTTCCAATACATGTTGAAAAGGACCAAAGCAGTCTGGAAGAAAACACATTCAAAAGCTCTTCCAACACTATCTGCCAGCTCTGGTCAGCACCAGTCTTACTGAGTACACAAAACACAGTTGCCTGTTTTTTTCAGGTCAGTTTACTCATTTTTAACCATTTCAGGAATCCAGCACAGGTGGGACAAGAACAGTGATGTCTGGCAGTATTGCCACAACCGAGGGTGCTTTCACATTCATCACAGGCATGGAGAACACGAACAGGTGCGAACAGACGACCTTGATCTATAACTTCTCCAGGCAGAGCCCCTGACCATCACAGCCACACACCCAAAGGAGCAGCTCTCCCTCCTTCCAGCCACCCTTGACCCAGGATATATTCCCATGTATTCCCACCAGTGGCTGGTGTCACTCTAGAAGATTATGTCCTTTGGGAAGCCACTTTCTCGTTATGAAAAAATAAAAGACCAGGCCAGATTTCCTCAACTACCTTAATAATGCAGCAGGTTTGGAGTGCAGACACCCAACAGGCAAGAACATTTGTAATAAAGACCTTGAACAGCAAGTTCCAGAAAGGTTTTGGACCCAGTTCCCACTGTATAGCACTGCCCTGTTAGTGTCTCCCCGGGTAAACACCCACCTGTGGGCTGGGTCCACTGATGTCCAAAGCAATACAATATCATATATAACAATATTATATTATTATAATACTCTGCCATAGCTGTGCAGTCTCACTGCCGTGTTGAGCTCCCCCAGGGGAGGGCAAGATAAGGTGTGTACCCAGATACAACTTCAATTTTTTCTTTCCACATCTAAGTTGCTCATTTAACCTACTTTTTCCCAGTCACAATATTGACTTTCATGACTTGCATCAGTGTATTACACACTGACAGATTCAGCCGTAACTATACTGTCTCCTTCCATTAAAACTCAACATAATTTTTTTACATTTAAATTGAAGAACACATTCCTGAAAGCACAAGTTCCTAAGAATGGAAGTGTGTGTACTCACGCACCCATCTACCAAAATACAGATGAAAGGGCTCTTCTGGAACATTATTAGGGTCCATTCCATAATCTTCCAAAATCCAGAAGATGTGTTCTGGATTCTTTAAATTTACTTTTCCTTTGAAGGGCAGAAATTCAAGGGCCTATACAGTAAAGAAAAAGAGAGTCAGAAGAAGACAGGGCCAAATTTTTTAAATACATCCCACAAAAAACCTAAAAAGTATAACTGTAAGAAATAATAGGTTACTACTAAAAGTTCATTCTCAATTTTCTGAAATGCCTTTCCTGTAAGTAATGATAGCTCAAATGATTAAGGATTAGAAATCACAGAATCAGGAACTCTTAACATTTTTTTATTAACTGAACCCAACCTTAGAGGAAATGAATTGTACATAATAATCATGCAATTTTCAAGTTATAAAAACAGCACTGATGATGAACAACGAGATTCAAAATTTCAGTGACGTGCAGCTGCACCCATTTACACACTCAGCATTATTTCAGGCACACAAAAACTGAACAAAAGGGTAGCTGCTATTAATATAGATCTCAGTCTCTGTAAATTAAGTAAAGAGAGTAAAGAGCTACTAAAATAGAATGTGGAAGAGCAAAAAGGAATAGCAATTTAGAAAAATTCCCAAATTAAAATACTGATACAGTTAGGAGGAGAGCGAAAGTGCAGAGAAGAGCATAGGGACAGAACAAGAAATCAGCACACACAATCCACAGCTTGTAACTTGTTTCACATTCTGCCACAAAAAATGCCCAATACAGAGATCTAGCACCTAACTCTAACCATTTGAATCTTACAGTTTTAGGTAATGGGCTTCAGTTTCCCCAGCACACTGGGCTGATATCAGCAGTGCGATTTATTTGTCTTTGTGTATGCCTTAGGTGGTTTAGGAAATTAAGAAAGTAAAGTCATGAATTTTGAGGGAACATTAATTCAGACACAAAGATCTTAGAGCTGATAAGATACCAGCCATGAATTGCTTTAAAATCCTCAGGACACCCAAACTTAAATACAATATCATGGAATAAGAACAATGTGACCAGATTAAGTAAATTGTCAAAGCTTTATTAAACATCTACTTACATCTATCTTTTTTATTTTCTGTGCTTGGGTCAGTGTTTTATTAAATGTATGAGTATGTATTTTGTAAGTAGAGTCTGACTGTAGATATGGAAGCTGGAAAAAAGGCAAAGACACTTTGATTAGTACAGCTGCAGTGCTATGCAGTGTGGTTAAAGAACCATATTACCGAGATTTTTTTATATGCATACCATCTTGTCCATTGGATAATTCTTCAAAGATGCATAAAGCTCCCCCGCAGACCTTCCATGACCCCACAGTTCAAATATAGACCTAAAATGACAAAGTTTTTGGAAATGCAGTCACATTTGTAGGGAGGGCAAATGGCTTACAGAAACTTACTCCTTTTCACCTTCTTGGACACATATTTAAGCTTTGCTTCACGGAGTACTGAAGCACAGTACTTACCTCTTAGCGCATGCTTAAGTTTTGTTCTTAATAGGGACACACTTGGTTTTCATCTTAACCTGGTATTTCAAAGATGCTTTTTTGTTTGGTAACACATACACACAGGAGTGCCTAATGCTCTGTGCAGCAACACTATGAGACAAGCACTGGCTCTGCAGCGAAGGGCACTATTTCAAGACCCTGCGCTGACTATGTGCTATGGAAAGAGGACTGGCCCACCACAGAATCAGTACTACAGGCACCAGTAATGCCTCCTCAGTTCTAGAGGTCATCAAAGACTGTTTATCTTAAGACTCCAGACAAAATTATTATTTGTCACATTACAGCAGAATAATTTTACACTGCCCACGTTATCATTAACAAATTTTTTCACCTCTTACTTTGCACACACTGTCCGTTTCATCAGTCCCCTTGCCATCTCTTCTGAAGGAATATTGAGAATCCAAAATGGAGACTGTCATAAAGAGAAGTGATGCAGATACTGAGCTGGAGAATGTCACATGAATTACACAACTATACAATTCTGTTTTATAAAAACAGAATAAGCATGCTGAAGATTAAAAAAAAAAAAATCTTAACTGTACAGAGAACGAGGATAAAACATTTAATTTGAAGTAAAACTGGATTCTCAGTTGGAATGTCTGAGAAATTTTATTAGGCGTTTCATTTTCCCACCATATCTTTGACTTGGTAAAATACCACTACCTGTTTATGCTTCTCTAGATTATTCATCCTCTTAAGACTCAAAACACCACCTTAGACACACATAGTAACTAAAACGCAGTAACATTCTCTGACTAAGCATTGAAATCAGAATTGCAGAGTTTCCTGGCTTCACTCTTCCAGATACTTTGCCTCACTGATTTAAATACAACACCAAATTCAAACTGCTGCTGAATGTTTTCATGGTTTGGCTATTCTGTGAAGAAAGGAGAAGCTTCCAGCAGATGGCTCTCTTTCTTCCCACACTGTTAAATGAAGACATCCTGAGGTGCACTTTGTGCATCTTTTACTCAGTTCCGAGTCTTTACTGAAATTGAGAATTGCTCGGTCTCAGAAAACTCCTTCTTTACCCAAGAAACTTCAAAATTTATTGTGCCACCTGCATTTAATAACAATACTGTAAAGAACATATTTATACACCATACACACATGCAAGTAAAATAGATGGATCTTGCTTACATTTACACGAATTTCCTGTTCACTGCTGAATTGTCCACCATAAAGTGAGAGTAAAGACGTTATTTCCTAAAGTGAAAACAAAAAGATCAGGCTTTAGGAGCAGTAACTAATATTTTAAAGAAAAGAAGAAAAAAAAAAAAAAGGAAGAGGAAAAAAAGCAGCATACAAAGAATTCTAATGCAGACGGTGACCTCCACAGGGATCATGAACAAAATGTTAGTCAGCAACAGAACAAACAGTTCTGACTTGCTGTGGGAATCGACAGTGAAACAGTCTCACAGTAGTTGTGTGGATAGGGCAGAGGTTCACAATTAAATTCAAGTTGTATGTACTGTTCATGAACTGAAAAAAAATTAAGACTCTCCTGCTCTAAAAGCAGCTGATTACCTTTCTCAGAGTTCAGCTGCAAAGGCACAAGCTATGGTTAGGTTATGAAAAGTTTACAGTACACAACAGATCAAGTTAGGCAAATTTCAGTAATTAAATCTCACCGTTGCGCATTTTCTCTTTCACCAAAATCTTTACTGTTCAATCCTACACCTCCACAACAATATTCCTCTTACAATATTAATTTATCTACTCTTTTAAAACATTTTTCTGACTAGATGACATAAAAATGATGCCTCACTAGTAACACCGTGACCCCGGGATCAATTCCTTTTCTACTACCTCTCTGCTTTACAGGTATCCCAACAGCTTTCCTCAATTAGGTGTCTTTTAGAGAATAAACTAAATCAAAGACTGTAAACTGAACACTTAAAACAGCAAATCCTCAAGAAACAAGCACGTAAGAAATAATTCAAATAAAACAACATCCACCCACTAAAAAGGCTTTTGAAATGGAAAGAGAGGTAAACATTGGGGATGTCTCTCACGCAGCCCCTTTGCTAGAAATGACACACTACAACCTCTGAGCGTTATGGGCAAAAGAACACAGAAGCAAATTGTGTATTGTCTTCTCTGTGTAAGTTAAAAGATTACCATAACATACCCCAAAAAACAGAGGAAAAGAAAACCCAGCATAATACTATCAGCAGGACTTTACCCCCTTTATTTCCATCTCTCTCTCTCCATAGAAAGAATGTAAGATGTCAGAAAACCCAGGGGTTTTCTTCAGAAGAATAAAAGCTCATGCACCACTATTTCTTTGTATGGTCTTGGGACAGGAAAAGCACCTGAGGTTTTTACACATGAATCAGTGACATCGCCACACACTACTGGTAATATTAGCTACAGGAAAGTGACAAGATTGAGAAGCAGAGCAAACAGAGCCTGTGAGGAAAGGCTTGCAGAAAACCGTGATCTCAACCTCTATGCGTGCTAAAGGTTGCTGTGATAACGGAAGGTAATAATCTACTTTCAATGTTTACTACAAAGGAGACAAGAGCACCAGGTTCAGATGACAGCAGTGCTCTCAATGAGACGTTGGGAAGATCCTTCCGAGGGTAAAGACCGTGAAGCACTAGAACAGATCTGCCTGAAGATACGGATAAGAGAACATTTGACATGCATCTCTCTGTCCATTAGAGACACCCGTTGCTGCCAAAACAGGATGCCTGATGGTACCCCTCGGTATCTGACCCAAACACAGACTGATCCCCTGGCTAGGGAACATGGTTTCTTACCAACCACAGAACACAGAACTTCGTACTACAGACATTTAACAACAAATGTGGACTTCAACAAACACCTTCAGCCGTTTGTTGATCCAGCAGCACCACCCAAAGGAAAGCAGTCCTCTCCTATCCTGTATGCAGGTGTGGTAGAGATGGAGATCAGGCAGATGATCTGGCTGGAAAAATCTGTCTTTGCTTGTTTCATTAAGTGTTCAGACAAATCAGGTCCCTAACATGGCTCAATGCATGGCTGAGCACTCCCCACAGCACAAGAAAAGGGAAACCAAACTGCTTACTTCAGCAGCTGTACCAACCAAGTGCAACTGCCACCTTAATGAAAAAAGAAAAATGTTCTATATTACATATATATTGTCTTTCTCTTACTGATGACCTTGCGTAAAGAAATATTGGGCTGATCATAAATAAATAAATCCATGTTCCAGTCCCACAAAGCAGATAGATAAAAGCAATGCACAAAAGAAAGCCTTAATGGAAATCACAGAATTGCAGGGGTTAAAGAGACTTCTGAAGATCATGTAGTCCAACCGCCTGCCATCTAGGGCAGCCACACAGGAACGCATCCAGGTGGGTTTTGAAAGTTTCCAGAGACTCCACAACCTCTCTGGGCAGCCTGTTCCAGCGCTACATCGCCCTCCCAGTAAAGAAGTATTTCCTTATGTTTAGGTTGAACTTCCTGTCTTCCAGTTTGTGACCACTGCCCCTTGTCCCGTCACTAGACATCACTGAGAAGCACACACTGGTATTTTAAAACATGCGTAATTATGGCCTAACAATTATAACAAAATAACTCTGCATTTCAGCACTATTTTAAATAATAACATGCTACCCTGGATATCGTGTTACTAGCTCTTTAAAATGGTGCCTAGAAGAGCACTTAAGGTATCAAAATTTGTCAGTGTATAGTAACTCTGTAAGTCATCATGGGGAAAAAAATAATCACAAGTTAAATGTATAAACAAGAGGGTTTGCTTAGAAACACAGAAACTGAACATATGCTAAACTGGACATTTACCTTGGATCCATGAAAAACAGCAGGGACTCATAAAAAAACACCAGGGACTCAGACAAGTTATAAATCTTTGTCTGTTTGTTTTAACACTTTCTGTGAATACCAGTTGAAAAGACAAAACCAATTTGGTGGCAGGGGACAAAGTCCGTACCCTGAATTTTGCAACCAAGCGGCATAAAGGCATCAGTGCCAAGCGGACTGCAGTACTCCAGGCAGGACTTGCCAGCTCCCACACTTGACCTGCTGCAGTCCTACCGCAGAAGCAGCACAAACCCTTCCGACCGCATGGAAGCGAACACTCGGTACAGAGGGCCAGGGGCCAGCAGCAGCACTCAGTGCCACTGGTGGGACAGGGGGCAAGGAGGGTGGTGACCAGGAGGCCAGCCAAGGCCTTGGAGACCCCCGCTGGATACCAGCCCGTGCGGCAGGCCCCCGGGCTTCAGAGAAGCCCAGTCCTCAGTGCTCCTCAAGTCCTCCTCCAGAAAATGAAGATCTGCACCCCTCCTGCCTCACGCAGCTCTGCAACACCTGGGATGGAGAGGGCCCTGCCTGTCACTGAGCAAACACCAACCATTTAGGTACCCACACCGTGCCGGTGGGAGCGTTCCCAAAATCATAGAATCACAGAATCATTAAGGTTGGAAAAGACCTCCAAGATCACCAAGTCCAACCATCAACTCAACCCTACCATGACCACTAAAATATGCCCTGAAGTGCCACATCTACACGTTTTTTGAACACCTCCAGGGATGGCGACTCCACCACTTCCCGGGCAGCCTGTTTCAGTGCATCACCACTCGCCAATCTAAACCA